GCTTCTAGATGCTTGCAACCTAAGTAATAAGTAGGCACACTTATTCAATAAACAACTTATCACATTCTCATCTCGATCATGAACAAACTAAGCTTCTCATTTACTCAAATAAACTCATGCTTTCTCATATAACTCAAATAAACATTCATGAGCTGTCATATACTTATCATGCATTCTCTTGCAAGACATATAACTCATCGCAAGCTCATACTATCAATCATGCAATCTAGTGCAAGACGTATAACTCATAAGCAACTCATGCTATCAAATAACTCATAAGCAACTCATGCTATCAAATAACTCATAAGCAATCTTATGCTATTAATCATGCAATCTTGTGCAAGATATATAATAAGAAAACTCATGCTACTAATCATGCAATCTCGTGCAAGATATATAAGTATAGGTACATATACATATACACTCTTTTGTAAAAAGAATACTTTTTCTATGGAGTGAAAATTGACTATTTTGGATTTTCTTAAAACCGGATTTATAAAAACAAATTTTTGGGTTGTCACACCTATAACCCTGAAACGACTCAGGATAACCTAGAAAGACACATGGAGATGACCGGTATGAGAGTTTGTGATGATTATATGGCCTGAGATATGGATAACATAGACACCCAAAGACACTTAGAAAAGAATATGAGGGATTAGAAGCATGCACTTTAAAGTGAGGACTTAGATTATTTAATACGACAAATGACATTTTATTGATTAAATAAATTGCAGTTTCAAAGGCATAATCACATAATTTATATGGAACAGATGCACGGGCTAGAAGAGCCAGACTTGTTTCAACTATGTGTCTATGTTTTCTTTCAACACTACCGTTTTGTTCATGGGTGGTGTAGGTACATGATTGTCTATGAATGATACCTAATTGAGTAAAGGAATGATGTAATTTCTTGTTCGAAGTCGAAGCCAGAGAAAAAAGAAGTTGTTCGAAGAGAAGAAATAGGGTTAATTTTGAGTCAAGTGCTTAGTAGGATAATAATAATAATAATAATAATAATAATAATAATAATAATAATAATAACAACAACAATAATAACAATAATAACAATAACAATAATAATAATAATAATAATAATAATAATAATAATAATAATAATAATAATAATAATAATAATAATAATAATAATAATAAATGTAAAATAAAAAATACACATGGCATCCTAATCAACACAAACTTGTTATTAACCTGTTAAAAATGCTAATTGCTCTTTTTTTTTTTCCATGTTCATGGATCAACTTGGAGCTTATTCGAGTTTGATGACTTAATTGTTATCCCCCAAATAGTTCAATGGTCTATTTGTACCTTTTTCCCTTTATAAAATTATGAACATATAGCTCTATCACATGTTCACAAACCTAATATTGTAATGTAAATTTATAATTTCTATAATGTAGATTCATAATTTAAATACAGTAAATTTATAATTTCTAAATTGTGCAATTACAAAGACAGAAACGCTGTTAACGATAAGTGAAAACAAAATTTCAAAATAATTTTTTTTTTTAAATTAAAGCGGCGTCATTTTTCTTAAAAACGATGCCGTTTTGAAAACTTGTCAATCATGCATGGTGGAGACGTTTCTACAGCATAATTTGTCAAATTCGACCAATTCTGCCCCCTTTGTCAAAACGACTTGGCCCACCTACATATATTATTCTAACGTTCATCTTTGGAATTGAAGTTCTGTTTTTGAAGCAAAACATTGTTTCATATTTCTTTTTCTTTGTTTTTTATTTTTTTAATGAAAAATCTGCAGTCAATAGAGTAACTTTGAATAAATTTCGCCTTATGAGTCTAGTTAAGAAAGAACAATAAGGAAATAAATTAATCTAGATTGTCCATAACTAATTGGTTCAAATCAAAAAGGTTAATAGGCCACTCTCATCTAAAGTCAACTTTGTATTCTTGTGATTACCAAACCAATGAACTTAGTTTTTTTTTTTTTTTTTTTTGAAAAGTTTGATGAACTTAGTTAAGTAGTAGTTGGTTGTCCCTCGTTTTATTTTTCTTCTCGAGGCTACTCTTGGCAAATTAAGGTAGGATATGTTGTGTGGATCATATTATAACCATTAATAATAAAACACACTTAAAAAAACGAAAATTAAAATTATGATCCTTTTATATTTAGCATCATAAATTGACATGATGACATCTCAAGTTGTTAAGGTTTCCATTACAATATGTAATATAAAGGGAAAATTATAATTTATGCCCCTATAATATGTCAATTATCAATATTATTCCTGAATTATATATTAGTGGTGTAAATGTTGTTCCTCAATTTTTAAAATGGTATATATAGTGCTCTCTTGTTGTCTAAATGTTGTCACTCCATTTTTAAAATGGTACATATATTGCCCTTCTCGTATGGTACAAGATGGACAATATATGTACCATTTTGAAAATTAAGGGACAACATTTACACCATTAATAATTCAAGGGTGACATTGATAATTGACAATTATAGAGGGATATACATTACAATTTTTCCTAATATAAATTGGCATACTTATTCCAAAAATCCTGCGCAAGTGCTACTTATACTAAAGAAATTATGGATGGCATATTGGCATGTAAGATTTTCTTGTATAATATATTTTAGAGCTAATTTTATTTCTAGTCTTACATTTATAGGTGTCAATTCACTTTTAGTCATTCTTTTTTTCAAAGTACGTCTCTATTTAGCACTAGTATTATTGTGACATGATATTTTTTATCATTTGTCAACAAATATGTTTCCACAAATTTCCACATATGCTCCACGCCTCATAACCAACCACAGCACGCATTTAAACAACACAACAGAGACATTAGCAACATTATAATAGGGCTAAAAGCCTAAAACACAATGACAACATCCACAAACTACAGTATTCTGCATGCAGTTAATTTTAAAACATTCATTTGCTTGTCTATTTTGTTGGGACTAATCTTACAATTCTTATATTAATGAGTTACAACAGTTTATTACTTAAATGACCCATCGACTACTGTGAAATTATCAATTTGGTCCTCGATAATTTCTTTTACCCAATTAAGTCATTGACTTTGAAAATGTTAACCATTTTGGTCCTCCGTTAGATCAGGTGTTAAAAGTCCATTAAATGGAAGGATATTAATGGAATTTCGTTTGAGAAGACACATTTCCTACCAATTAAGTCCTCGGTCTTTCTAGTCTCTAACTGGTAATCGTTGCACGTCTGGGAGGGTATGTCCAGAAATAGAAAAACGTTCTCCGGCGACCGGAAAAACAAAAAGCCTGGATCTTGATGACCTGCTGGGAAGCTACAGAAGAGCAGAGGAGAAGAAAGCCAAAAACGCTGAAAAAGAAAAAAAAGGGATGAACGCCGGAGATTAGACATAGAGAAGGGGAAATGAGAAACAAATCTGGTGATAATTGAGAGAGTGAGAAGCAGGGGAAGGGAAGTAAATGACGAAGGCAGGTAGCGATATCCTCTTGCGAGAAACTTCGGATTCAGACCATTGCTTGCAGCAAGCAAAGATGCAACTTCCAACAACTTCAGATTCACCGACTTATTGAACCCATCTCACTACCCTCGCTGCAATGCCACTTAATCTCAAGCCTCAAAGCATGCAATAGAGTATGGACTTTTAGTATATTTAACTATTTGCATTATAATTATATATAAATAATAAGAATCAAGAATTTTTCTTGTGCTCCGACAGTGAAAATAAAAAATCAGCTTTGCGGATTTTTCTGAAATTAAACTTAGGAAATCAGGGGCAAAAACCCAAAAAAAAAAGAAAGGAAAAGAAAATCAGTTTTCTTGCGAATGAGCTTCTCGTCCATGGCGTCTTTGTGATTTAAAGCTTTAAGCCTCGACTAGCTCTGTGCCTCTGTTTCTATTGTACTAACTCGGTAGGAAATGGGTCTTCTCAAGCGAAATTCCATTAATAGCCTCCTATTTAACGGACATCTAACACCTTATCTAACAGAGGACCAAAATGGTTAACATTTTCAAAGTCAAGAACTTAATTGGATAAAAAAAAATTATCGAGGATTAAATTGGTAATTTCTCAATAGTCGAGCGAGGGACCATTTCAATAATAAACTCGAGTTACAATTAAGCAATACAAACTAATATAGTAACACCACATGTGGTCGGAAAATTGGTTAGAACAGTACCGGTGTTTTTAACTCACTTTTGTACTGTCCACCAGGGCGCACAATGCATTATTGTGCGCCCTGGCCCAAAACGACGTCATTTTGTACATTTTCCCGTGTCTTCTGTTATCTTCTTAAAAAAAATCTCATATTTCGAATGTACAGAATTGTATAATAGAATGTACATAATTTTATAACTGAATACACATAATTTTTTACACCATTAATAATTCAAGGGTGACATTGATAATTGGCATATTATAGAGGGATATACATTACAATTTTTCCTAATATAAATTGGCATACTTATTCCAAAAATCCTGCGCTATACTAAAGAAATTATGGATGGCATATTGGCATGTAAGATTTTCTTGTATAATATATTTTAGAGCTAATTTTATTTCTATTCTTACATTTATAGGTGTCAATTCATTTTTAGTCATTTTTTTTTTCAAAGTACGTCTCTATTCACTGTTAGAAATTTCGCGTTTTCCGTCCAACTATAATTTGGTCGGTGTTTTAATAAAAATCTCAACTTTTTGTGGCAAAAGATGGATTGACGGAAAATTGGTCGGAATTTCCGTCCAACAAGTAAATGTTGGACGGAAATTCTATCCAACGTCTAGTGTTGGAAGGAAATTTTGTCCAATCTTTAGTGTTGGTCGATCAACTTTGTTAGAAATTGAAAATGGTAGCTATTTTAATTTTCGTCCAACATTGTTGTTGGACGGAAATTAAAAGATAGAGGAATACTAGAATAATGGACACTAAATAGAGAAGCGGGGAAATATATAACTTTGGGTGGGAAAACCTAATTCCCACCAAATTCCCAGCAAAATTTTCCCGCTTCATAGTCTCTAAAGCAAAATTAGGGCTTTTTCATCGTCTCCAACTAATTACTTTTATCTTCGCTGGTCGTCGCTGTCACGCCCTCTTTCGCCTGTTTGTCGTCTCCCCGTTCTCCATTGGAGCACAGGAAGGTCGCCAATCACCCTCCGTAGCTGCCGGTCTTCGCACATTATTTGTATATCTAAAATCCCTTAATCAACTTTCCTCTCAGTGTCTCTCTCTCGTTCCTTGCAAATCCGACTGTTGACGAAGAAGCCAACGCCTTCCGCCCTCTCCTGCGAATCTACGATGAAGATGATAGACGACAACAAAGCAAGCAGAAGCCATGGTGGACGACGAAGCTAGAAGTCGACGCCTCTGCCCCCGCCTTCCCCTGCGAATCTGTGAATCTGGGTATGTTTTCTTAATTTTGTTTTGTATTTTCTTCTTATTATTCTTCTTTCATAAGAATCGCCATGATTTTCAAATCTATTTTCTTCCCTAAATGTTGGTATATTTTTGCTGCTAGTGCTACTTCAGAGTGCAATTAGGGTTATGAACTAAATTATGAATACATTCTCTCCACCAGAAGTGATGCTTTTCCAGGATGGTAATAAAGAATTTATTTTGTTATTGATTCTTCCATTTTGTTATTGATTCTTACATGTATGGTTGTATGTATTGACATCTTTTCTATTTGATGATATTAATTTAGTTATATCTTTGAGATACTCTTTAACGATCTAGCTTATTAATTTCTAGAACTTTGCATATGTTTAGGCCAACTATATTTGCTAATAAATGTATCCGTCTGTAAATGTTGAACTGCAGAACATAGCTTGCACCAAATTCCTTGACATGGGAACCTATTCTGTTACATAGAGGCAATTATGTTAGAGCTTTGATCTAGAAATTGCATTCTGTTACATTGGGGCAATTATATTAGGCTCAAGAACTTTCTGTGGGAAACACAAGGAAAAACTTTCTGTTGTGAATAAAAACTAGAAGTGTTTACGTATTAGAGTTTATCTTCAATCATCATCAGTTTATTTTCTAAGAATTGTTTGTGAAAGCATTGGAATAGAAAAATGTGTTGATTGAACAACCTTTGCCTAATCTATCTATGAGGTTACATGATATTAATATATTCCAAAGTGGATTTTTTCAGTCAGACAGATAACTTATACTGGGATAATCTCAAACTACCTCAACACAAAATTTAGACCTTAATTATATTTGTTCATTAATCAATAACCTAGGATGACCGATTCTGAAAAAAGAAAAACTAGAGTTTGTCTGCTATCCTATAGCAGCCTTCTGAAGAGTGATCTCATCTCATCTCTCCTTTTCCATGTGCGCAAGAAGGCTGTTGATGAGGCTTGGATTATTATTTGGCTTAATAATTGCTACTCACTATATTTGGCTTAATACACTCAACACATGTGATTAACTCAGAAACAGTGGTGAAGAAGTGCAGAAAGTAAGATCTATTGGGAGAACTTACATTCATCTATAGCATCAAGAAACTAAGGTCTATTGGGAGAAGAGGAGAAGAAGAAAGGGCTTTCTCTTTCTCCTGCTGATTCTATCTGTAAGTGCTCCATCCCCCATTGGTTAATTGGTGAACTTCATATCATGAAATCCTATAACTAAAATTAAAATACGAGTGTTTATGCTTATGCACTTTAATTTAATGTGGTTGCTGAAATGGAAGTTTGATTAATAATATGTTGAGGATTTAAGAAGAATGTAAACATTATTGCTTATCCAACTATGTATATATATGAATAAAGCTGGGGATCTTATTGTTTGTCCTTTGGATTAAAAGTTTGGTTTCTTTGAGATAAATTATTTTGGGAACTTCATGTTATCAATACTGGCAATGTATTCCTTTTCAATTCAGGTGTCCAAAGGAAGAAATTCACCATTCACATATGTCATTGTTGACAACCAAAAGTGAGTGTGTTAATCTTTGCAATATGTGGGGAATTTTATGAGGTTCTACCATACATATTACTATTATCTTGAAGGGTCATTGTTCTATGATGTTCCAGAAAAACTCGTACATGCATTTCCACTCAAGAATATCCACACAAATCAAAATTGTCTTCAGCCCTTGATGGAGTAAATATTGCCTACTTAGATGGAAGATTGCATGAGACTGCTTTTCTTGTAGCGCAAGAGGTAATTGTCATTTTTATTTACTTTTCTTCATACCCATATAAGTTACTTTTTATGAAACAAGATTACAGGTAATAAAATGATCATTTCTTTATATGATTATGGCATCTAAGAGATTATGTTTTCATTCGTTTTTACTAGTATACTGAATGTTATTGTGCATTTATTTACCTTACATTTTTATTTTGGTGTTTTTTTGGTTATATGCAGATTGTTGGTCATTTTTGCTAGAAATCACTTTTAAAAATGCTTATCAAAGCCATCATATTAAATTAGTTGCATTTGTAGGTATACCCATCATCTACACTTGATCAAAGTCATTGAAGTAGAAGGCTGTGGATTCTGCATTGATCGACATTGAAGCAGTGCTGGATTTGAAGGCTTATTTGGGTGCATCGAGCATACTTAAGTAGTATTGATTAAGTAGTATATATTTTCATGACTTTTTTTTTTTTTTTTTTTTTTTTTTTTTTTTTTTTTGTATGATAATAGTTCATTGTTGGAAGTACAATGGACATGACCATAATTTTGATGTTTAAATATATTTTCAATTTTCAATTTAGTGTGTCCATTAATTTATTGATGATATATAATTTATTAACAATAGGTAGAAATAAAATTATGGTAATATAAAAATAATAATAATATTTCATATGATTTAAGATTTTCCTACCAACAATTGGAAGGAAAATCACAAAATATAATATGTGAGTTTTCCGTCCAACATTGGTCGGAATTTCCGACCAACGCATGTAGTTGGACGGAATTTCCCACGTTTTAAGCATGGTGGGTTATTGTCCGAAATTTCCGTCCATTTTTAACTATTGGAAGCTATTTCCGACCAAATATTGGAGTTGGACGGAATTTCCCACGAGCGTTTTTCCGAACATTCAATTTGGTCGGTATGTTGGACGGAAACCTCGTTTCCGACCAATATATTGCGTTTTCCGTCCAACATTCGTTGGACGGAAAACGCGAGATTTCCAGCAGTGATTTAGCACTAGTATTATTGTGACATGATATTTTTTTATCATTTGTCAACAAATATGTTTCCACAAATTTCCACATATGCTCCACGCCTCATAACTAACCACATCATGCATTTAAACAACACAACAGAGACATTAGCAACATTATAACAGGGCTAAAAGCCTAAAACACAATGACAACATCCACAAACTACAGTATTCTGCATGCAGTTAATTTTAAAACATTCATTTGCTTGTCTATTTTGTTGGGACAAATCTTACTATTCTTATATTAATGAGTTACAAGATCGAGTTTATTACTGAAATGGTCCATCGACTACTGCAAAATTACCAATTTGGTCATCGATAATTTATTTTACCCAATTAAGTCCTCGACTTTGAAAATGTAAACCATTTTGGTCCTCCGTTAGATAAGGTGTTAAAAGTCCAATAAATGGAAGGGTATTAATGGAATTTCGTTTGAGAAGACACATTTCCTACCAATTAAGTCCTCGACCTTTCTAGTCTCTAATTGGTAATCGTTGCACGTCTGGGAGGGTATGTCCCGAAACAGAAAAATGTTCTCTGGCGACCGGAAAAAACAAAAAGCCTGGATCTTGATGACCTGCTGGGAAGCTACAGAAGAGCAGAGGAGAAGAAAGCCAAAAACTCGGAAAAAGAAAAAAAGGGATGAACGCCGGAGATTAGACATAGAGAAGGGGAAATGAGAAACAAATCTGGTGATAATTGAGAGAGTGAGAAGCAGGGGAAGGGAAGTAAATGACGAAGGCAGGTAGCGATATCCTCTTGCGAGAAACTTCAGATTCAGACCATTGCTTGCAGCAAGCAAAAACGCAACTTCCAACAACTTCAGATTCACCGACTTGTTGAACCCATCTCACTACCCTCGCTGCAATGCCACCTAATCTCAAGCCTCAAAGCCTGCGATAGAGTATGGACTTTTAGTATATTTAACTATTTGCATTATAATTATATATAAATAATAAGAATCAAGAATTTTTCTTGTGCTCCAATAGTGAAAATAAAAAATCAGCTTTGTGATTTTTCTGGAATTAAACTTAGGAAATCAGGGGCAAAAACCCAAAAAAAAGAAAGGAAAAGAAAATCAATTTTCTTGCGAATGTGCTTCTCGTCCATGGCGTCTCTGTGATTCAAAGCTTTAGACTAGTTCTGTGCCTCTGTTTCTATTGTACTAACTCGGTAGGAAATGGGTTTTCTTAAGCGAAATTCCATTAATACCTTCCTATTTAACGGACTTCTAACACCTGATATAACAGAGCACCAAAATGGTTAACATTTTCAATGTCAAGGACTTAATTGGATAAAAAAAAGAGAAAATTTCAATTTTGGTCACATGACTATAGGGGCTTTGTTAATTTTAACACCTGACTTTTAAAAGTGTCAATTTAGTACCTTGAGTATGTAATTTTTGTCAATTTTGATCACTCCGGCCAAATTGACGGTCAAATTTGGCCGAAAAAATTTAATCAAATATTTAATCTATAATTTGAGGGGTAAAATGGTATTTTGATCATTTCTCCTAATTGGTGTTGACCGGTACTATATTTGGGGGCTCGTCGTCGGCGTCTGCCTGAAAGAACACGGCGTCCCCTTCGTGATCTTCGAAAGAGTAGACTGCATTGCATCGTTATGGCATAAATGCACCTACGACTGCCTGAAACTTCATCTTCCCAAGCGATTCTGTCAGCTCCCCAAATACCCTTAACCGGATCACTACTCGGAGTATCCGCCAAGGCGGGCGTTCATTAAATACCTCGAATCGTACGCTGAACACTTTGACATCAAGTCGCGGTTCAACGAATGTGTGCAGTCCACTAAGTGCGATGAGACCAGCAAGGTGTGGCGGGTCAAGATGGCCTCCCCTGACGGCTGAGAAGTCGAGTATATTTGCCAGTGGCTCGTCTTGGCCACCGGCGAGAATGCGGTGTCCGTCGTGTCGGAGATTGAGGGGCTGAAGGAATTCGGCGGCGAAGTGATCCATGTCTGCGATTATAAGTCCAGCGAGAATTTCCACGGCAAGAAAGTTCTGGTCGTCAGCTGTGGGAATTCTGGCTTGGAAATCTCCCTCGATCTTTGCAACCACGACGCTAAACCTTCCATGGTTTGCCGCAGCTTGGTAAGCAAGAAACCCATCAACTAAACGACGACGTAATGCAAAATCGCGGTTGAATTCTAATAAATTTTTCCTCTTTTTATTGTTGTTCAGGTTCATGTACTGCCCAGAGAATTTTTGGGGAAATCGACGTTCGAACTCGCTATGTGAATGATGAAATGCCTGCCGCTCTGGCTGGTGGACAAGATTCTGGTAGTCCTGACATGGTTTATCCTCGGAAACAAAAAAAAAATATGGACTTCAATTGGACAATTGGAACTCAAGAATACACGAGGAAAAAACCCATGTTCTTGACATTGGTGCTCGGAAAAAGATCAGATCAAGAAAACTTAATGTTGATCCTTTTTGGGGGTACTATATTTCACAATTGCTGAACCGGGTCAATTGTCGCTGAACTGGGTCAACACCAATTAGGAGAAATGATCAAAAGTCCATTTTGCCCGTCAAATTATAGATTAAATATTGGATTAAATTTTTTCGGCCAAATTTGACCGTCAATTTGGCCGGAATGATCAAAGTTGACAAAAATTACATACTCAAGGTACTAAATTGACACTTTTAAAAGTCAGGTGTTGAAATTAACAAAGCCCCTATACTCATGTGACCAAAATTGAAATTTCTCATAAAAAAATTATCGAGAATTAAATTGGTAATTTCTCAATAGTCGAGGGACCATTTCAGTAATAAACTCGAGTTACAATTAAGCAATACAAACTAATATAGTAACACCACATGTGGTCGGAAAAGTGGTTAGAACAGTACCGGTGTTTTTAACTCACTTTTGTACCGTGCACCAGGGTGCACAATGCATTATTGTGCGCCCTGGCCCAAAACGACGTCATTTTGTACATTTTTCCGTGTCTGTTGTTATCTTCTTAAAAAAAATCTCATGTTTCGAATGTACAGAATTGTATAATAGAATGTACAGAATTTTATAAATGAATACACATAATTTTTTTTGAAAGGATAATACACATAATCTAACATAATACACATAAACTCTTAACATTGATGTGAAATATACCCCGGGTTTAGACTCTCCGTATACTCCGTGATCTTGTTTGGGTCAAGGTCAAACGATTCGGGTCAAAGTCAAACCCATCAACCCTTGGACCTATAAATAAGGCCTTAGCCCTCATTGTTAAGTGTACTTTCCTCTTCACTCTCGTCACTCTCTCTCTGGTATGTACAAATCTCTCCGCTCTCTCTACATACAAAAGAAAAGAGATTAATGAATGAAAGTCTTCTTTGAGCTCATATTCTTGCCATTAGTCTTAGTCTACATACATACGGGGGTGGCGGTGCGACGAGAATAGCAAAAAAGGGAGGAGCTGGATGTTGCATGCATCGAGATTGGGTGAACTTTGGACATAGAATTTGAAAAGGCAAAAAATAAAATAAAAACGAAACAGCACAATGGTTGGCCGTCTGCATACACACCTTGGAAAATGCAAAGTGAATATTTTTAGAGTTGATAAATTTTTATTGTAATTTTAAATTATAGCTTGTATAGGTCAACACTCTTGTAGCTTGTATAGGCTATAGATTTGTACCTAAAATGTAATAGCAATATGTATGTATTCTAAGTCCCGTTAGGTTGGTATTTTCATCATCAACACCTAAAGCTCGGTCAGATCGGCCTTGTCACCACCGGTATTATTAAGTCCGGGTCCGTCTCGACATGGTCGGTATGCCAAAAGCCCTACGAACGTAGGCATAAGCTCGGGTTCGTCCCGACACGATCGGTAGGCCAAAAGCCCTACGAACGTAGGCATAAGCTCAGGTCCGTCCTGACACGATCGGTAGGCCAAAATGTAACACCCCGTGTTACGAGCCCTAAATTAAAACTAATTTAATTATCACCCACCCCAAAAAGGGAATTAGAATCCATTAATTAGCTAAAGAGGGGTCCACTATGGATCATGGGCCCTTGGCCCTAAAAACAATCCCCTAGTCCCATAGGAATTAGAATTAACAAACCCATACCACTTAGACCCTAATTAGGACTCTTAGGTATATAAATAGGGACATAGGAGACACCTAGATCTCACACCACAATAATCTCTCACCACACAAGAAGTTCCAAGAACCCCCTTAGGAGAAATCAAGAACGAAGAAAGCTTAAAGAAAGACCCTTCATAGCCAAGGAAATTAATTAAGGCTAAGAGGTAACCCATGTCTCAACAAAACCTATTTTCTTCGCTATAATCTCCTTCTTTGGCCTCCCTCTATATTCTCGTGTCTTGATGAATTCTTCTATGATAATTGTGTTATGATCTTGGTGATTGAAGAGATGATTTATATGCTTTCTTGATGATCTTGATATTGAAAAGAAGTTCTTGATTTTGATGTGATGATTCTTGACGAATCTTGATATTTCTAGATGTTAAAGATAAAATATGTTCTTGATGTTTTGGGTGGGATTAGAGCCCTAGGTTTGTTTGGGAGTTTGTATTGTGATGTTCTTGGTTCATATTTGGGTGGGAATTCGCATGTTCGGGTGTTGATTATACTTAGAAGTCGTGATAAGATGAGTTATATATGATCCTTGCTTTGATCCATTATTTGACTACGTGGTGTCGTTAATTGCGTTTAAAAGTGTCTAATCATGGTTTCGGGTTCCACAAGGGTTCCCGGGACGAAATATTGATGAATGAGTCAGTGGGGGGTAGGTGGGGGTAGGGGTACCCGCCACCTACCCGCTGCGCGAAGATCACCACCGGGCAGCGGGCAGGCGTCCGCCCGCCGGCAACTCGCTGCCGGGCAGTGATCTCCGGCGGGTAGCCTGCGGGTGACCCCTCACCCACTGGCTACCCACTGGTTCGTGACCCATCCTGGGTCCCCGGCTTCCCCGTTTGATGTCCCCCATTCCCCGTGGCGTCCCAACGAACCCCGTTTATCGTGCCTGAGTCTAGTTTGATGTATCGGGTACCGTTCGTATGATAGGTGAATCTTAGGAATTGCATGCTAGTTGAATTGGTAGCCCGTTGACCTAGGTGGAAGTCGTATGAACCCCTTAGGACGATTCTTAGTATGTGAATGAATACACGTAAGTTTAATTATATGTCTCCCCTTCCTAATGTGCTATTATGTGCTCTAATGTGTTATGTGATGCATGATTCCCCAATTTGGTTGCGATCAAGTTGGCTATACGGGCAGTTGGATGGGTTGAGAACCATACCAACTCTTAACCAGGCCGGTTGCGATCGGTCAGGTATATAAATATTATATAGGGCTGCGGTCCACTGGTTGACTACTCATGAGCTGCGGTTCATTCTCCTGGTTGCGGTCAGTGATTCACTTCTTGGCTGCGGTCCACATGGGCCTCGGTGCTATGACCCACCGGACCTGAACGCGCCAGGACAGTGTGTAGGGCCAATAAGCCGAGGAAGGCTGTCGTCCACCGATCCGAGTAATCGGGGCGGTGTGTAGGGCTACGGCTGGCTGCGACCCACCGAGCGATGGGACGACAGTGTGTAGGGCCATAGTCTCCGAGGATCTTCGCCCACCGACTGAGTATAGCTCCGCGGTGTGTCGGGCTTGATCCGCTATGGTCCACCGGCGTACCCATCGGCGGTGCGTAGGGTCGTAAGTCCCCCCTTGAAAAGGGGATCGCGGTCCACCGGCTGGGTGCGTCAGCGGTGTGTAGGATCGTGGTCCGACGTTGAGTTCGTCAACGGTTCTTAAAAGGGTTGGTTGCGATCAACTCCCCTCGTACCGCGGTACTGAGGTAGGGTGCTGCGGGGCCGTGTTAATGCTATAAGCATTGACCCTCATGTTCGGGGCATGCGATTGGTCCCGTGGCGCCATCAATGATGATGTGATATGAATAGTGATTGGATGATGATATGTTTTAGAATTGGAAAGTGATTGGTGACCTGAGATGCGTATTCCTTATGATGTTATCTCTACTTAACTGTTTGTTGTTGTTTGATGTGCTGGACCCTAATTGCCGAGTCTATTCCTGGTTTAAAAACTAGTGTCTCTTAAGTATATATCTTCCTACTTCAAAATGGTTTTCGTATATCTATATATATCTACCTATAATGTATTTCAACGCGTTGGAGTGGGTTACCAGCATCTCTTGCTGAACAGATATATTTGGCTTTCAGGCACAGATGAGTAGACACTGGAGCGCGCTAGAGATTTGAGGCGTAGAGTAGATAGTTTCCCTTTCGGGCTGCGTGCCATGCTTATGTATTGGCATTATTAAGAATTTTAGTTAGTTAGCCTGTGTACCTAAGTTCTCTAGCTCAGGTGTGGCATAACACCCTGTACTCTAATGTTGTACTTCTGGGATTTAATGAGGATTTACCTTTATTATATAAGTCTTAAAATTTGAAAACTTTCGGGGTGTTACAGTTGGTATCAGAGCCTAAGTTTGACCCTAGGATAAGACTTTTAAGACCAGACTTTAGGACATTAGGCTTGAACTCTAGGTATTCAGGAACATAAGACTCAGGAATCTTTGGACTCGCGGTGAGATTGTGAGCCTACCCATCTCCATCACATAACATCCCACCACTTTATCCCTCATTAATTTAAAGAACTCCACTTCGCTTATCACACCAAGGTAAGGAAACAACCCTCTAAATCAGTATAAACATTGGTTCTATAGATCAGCAACATGGCACCGAACAGAAGGCAATCAAGGACTCCGGAACCCGTCGCATAAGATCCCCTGACTCAGACCCTACAACAACTAACCAAAGTCGCCCAAACACTAAGCGACGTAGCTCTCCGCAACAACCGCCCACCGCCAAACACAAACTCAGAGGTCGCTCGACAGGTCTCGAACCATAGGCCGCCCACTTTCTCGGGAGAAGAAGATCCTGCCATCCTCGAGGAGTGGATACGGACCTTCGACAAAATCCTGGGGTTGGTAGAATGCCCAGAAGAACGTCTTGTAGAGATAGCCTCGTTCTACTTCGGACACGAAGCAGACATTTGGTGGATCCACGAAGGACCCACTTACAGGTAAGAACAAGGATTCAACTGGGAAAATCTGAAAACACGCCTGCGAGAACGATTCTACCCAACACACATAAAAGCCTCTATGCACGAAGAGTTCCTCCACCTAAAACAAGGAACGGCTACCATCACAGAATACCATAAGCGATTTCTCGAACTGGCACGCTTCGCGCCAGAATTAGTTCCCACAGAATCAACTAAAATAGAAAGGTTTGTATCGGGCCTCAACTTCGAAGCCTGGAAAGCACTAGTAGTAAGCGGACCCCGGACCCTCAACGAGGCTTACTCCAGTGCTGCCAACCTCTACCGAATCCAACTACTACAACGTGGGGTTCAAGATCAGATTCAAAAAAGGAACACAGGGGGAGGAACACCCCCAATAAAGAGAACGAGAGTTGACACCAACACGAGGCCAAACAACCCAACGGGACCAAGACCGCCCCCAAGGAACAACGAAGCCAATATGGGAGGCTTCCCTTGCCCAAGGTGCAATCAAAGCCATAGAGGCAGAGACTGCATGGGAAACCCCTTGCGGTGCTTCAACTGCGGGAAGGATGGACACAAGGCCCAGTGTTCACAACCCTCGAGCTCACACCCCATGAATATGGGACAAAACAGAAGCACCAACAACCAAGGGAATCATGGTGCTCCCGGGAAAGTATTCATCATGAGCCACACACAAGCCGAACTAGGAGACGAGGGCAACCTTAATGATAAACATTATTTTTATTATTATTTTAAATAATCTTTAATAGTTAAGTTGCAATAATTTATTTATTTTATATCAATTTTATTTATTAATTTTATATTTTTTTAGCTTTACTAATATTGTTTAATTTTGGGTTGTTTTTGTTATTAAGTTTGTTTTATTATTATAATTGTCAGTTTAATAGTTTATTGCCTGTAGATTATTATTATTATTATTATTATTATTATTATTATTATTATTATTATTATTATTATTATTATTATTATTATTATTATTATTATTATTATTATTATTATTAGTATTTAATAGATAGATTATATTAGCTAGTCAATTCCTACGAGAGAAAGGCGCAGAGCTCCTAGAAGACCAGAACCATATTTTGCAAATCAATTCTTCCGGCGATCCGAATGAATAGCGGAAGATTGGAAGAAATCGTTGAGTCCAGATAATATAAATAGAAGCAATTCCGAAGAAGCCAGGGGAGCACCGACCTACACAAAATTCCAGGGGAGCACCGACCTACACAAAATTCATTCGTCATCATCACCATTCTTCATCACCAATCTGATCCCCAAAACTCTTCACCCAACGGCCGTTCGGAGATTTCGGGATTTCTAGTGGTTCGCCGCAATTCTGGTCGGCGAACTCTGGTTTGCAGCGAAAGGAGTTTAGTTTGAGCGCATTCAATTCCATATACTGGTTCTTTCTTTATTTTCCTTCTTTCTTTATTTCTTTTTCCTTAATCTGGGCGTATTGGTTTCGTAATTGTTAGCAACAAAGTTAGCCTTTATTTTCATTTGTTAACTACAGACTATTTAAGTGATAGTGCAAATTACCATGTGCTAATTACCATGCTTAATGCTAAGTAAGAGTTAAAGTATTGATTTCATCTGCTCCCATTCTTTTCCTTAATCTGCTCTTTATTTGTGATTGGAAATCTCTTAATTCAAAACTTTGAATGTAGAGCTTAATTGCATATTTAATAACAAGTCTTGATCACAGTGCTTAATGCTAAGTATTTTGTTAATTATAATGCTGAAGGTTTAAGTACGGTTGTTAATTGAGATTACCATTGATAATGAAGCTGGTAGTGTTAACTGTTAGTTTTTTATGCCAAATTTCTAAGCTTTAATTACCACTTTCTGCACTCGTAATTAGTACTTTACATTTTAACTAAACTTTGTTTAATTGTCAGTAGCAATTTCTTGTTCATTCTGATTAGCTTTTCAATTACTCAATTTTTAGCTTTTGAAGCATTGATTTTAATTGTTTTGCAATTGAGTTGATTCTTATATTTGATATTCGTTTCTAGCACGTTAAAATTATCAAGTTAATTAATTTTAAGATTATAAATTGCATATTATCAATTCCTCTTGGGTTCGACCCTTGCTATTGCACCCTATTACTACAGTGACTCGTGCACTTGCGAGGACATTTAATTAAAAATTGTCCAACAATTTTTGGCGCCGTTGCCGGGGAAGTTGTTTATTTTGCAATTTATTTTCTTGTTCTTCCTCGTTTTTTTTATTGTGCAATTTGTTTATTTGGTTTATTTTCCTTTGCTCAATACTACTTATAACATTTATTTTTAATTTGCTTTTTGCTTTACCTATCTTGATTATCTTGATTCTTTATTTGCTGGCTTATTTTATTTAGTCAAAATATTAATTTATTTACTTGTTTTTGCTATTTTATTCGTTCATTCATTTATCTATTTATTTTATGCATGGTCGCCGTTCTTTAAACCCTGAACTATTGCCTTTAGACGATCGCATCAATAGAAAAAAGAAAAATAGTTTACCTTTAGAACCACAAGTAACAACCATGGCTGAACTTCCTCCACCCAACCCCAACCCTAGGCCCGTTCCTAGGTTGATGAAAGACTTTGGTAGGCCCCAAGTAGGAACTTCACCTTCTTGTATAGTGCTTACCAATGCAGCCAGGAATTATGAGCTGAAAACGATCCATTACAATCAGTTGCCATCTTTTCATGGTTTAGCAACCGAGGATGCCCTTACCTTTGTCCGGGATTTTTACGGGGTAGTCCAAAACTTTCCATTGAATGACCTGCCAGAAGATGAACTAAGGAAGAGGTGTTTCCCGTACACTTTAAAAGATGCAGCAAAACAATGGTTCATGTCTCTAACACCTGGATCCCTTCGGACATGGCCGGAGGTTTACAATAAGTTCATAGGTAAGTTTTATTCTCATGCTAAAACTTCTGAATTACGGAGAAAAATTGCGAATTTCTCGCAAGCTGAAGGCGAACCGTTCCATGAGGCATGGGAAAGGTTCAAAATGTTGCTCATTCAATGCCCCCACCATGGCTACCCATTGGAGCTGCAAAATCAAACCTTTTATGATGGTTTGACCCAAACCAGCCAATCAATTGTTGATAATGCGGCTGGAGGTGCCATGGGAGAAAAAACTGCGGAGGAGACCTTAGCATTGTATGAAATGCTAGGAGCGAACTCCCAACAAAAGAGCGTAAGGGGACAGACATCAGGTATGTATGAAGTTAATTCAATTACTGATTTGAAGATTCAAATGTCTGCGATGGATGAAAAAATGAATAACTTGTGTTCTATGCTGGCTACGAAACAAAGTACTGCATATATGATTGGAGAAAATGATTGTTTCGAACAGGCTAATGCGATGAACAATTTTAATCAAAGGCCTAGAAACGACCCGTATTCTAACTCTTATAATCCGGGGTGGAGGAATCACCCTAACTTTTCTTGGGGTAATAATCAAAATAATTTTCAACCAATTGCTCCACCTCAACCAAAAAAACCATCTTTGGAGGATACATTGCAAAATTATATACAGGTTTGCAATAAACGGTCGGAGGCAGATGAGAAACGGTTCCAACAAAATGAGGCTTCACTTGCAAGAAATGAGGTTTCCCTAAGAAAATTGGAAGTTCAAGTGGGGCAACTCGCAGAAGCTATGCAAGGCCATGTGCCAGGTAAGTTACCTAGTCAACCTGAAGAAGCTAAAGTTTTGACTGTTTTAAGAAGTGGTAAAGTTATTGAAAAAAGTGTGAAAGCAAATACCACTTCTGAACCAGCTGAAATAGTTGAAAAGTTGCATGTTGATGATAATAATAATAAGCATGAACCCCAACTGCATAAATCTGATAATCCTTATGTGCCCCCTAAGTCTTATGTTCCCCCAGTTCCATTTCCTGGTAGATTGCAAAATTCAAAATTTGATAAATCATTTGCTGAAATTTATGATTTGTTGTCAAAAGTGAACGTGAATTTGCCTTTGTTAGACATGATTAAAAATATGCCTGCTTATGCTAAGTTTTTGAAAGAACTAAACACCAGAAAGCGTAGGTATGCACATAATGAAAAAGTTTTCATGTCTAAAACTGTGAGTGCTGTTTTACAAACTGACTTGCCCCCAAAATTAGAAGATCCCGGTAGTTTCATAATAACTATTACTGTGGGGAATTCTAAAAAAGAAAAGGCAATGCTTGATTTAGGGGCCAGCATTAACTTGATGCCATATTCTGTCTACTTGCAATTAGGTCTAGATAAATTGAAATCTACTACAATGTCCCTCGAGCTTGCTGATCGCTCTGTTAGATATCCTAGGGGCATTGTAGAAGATGTTTTGGTCCAAGTTGATAAATTAATAATTCCTGCTGATTTTGTTGTTTTAGACATAAATAAAAAGTGTAATCACGAGCAGGACATGCCTATCTTGCTTGGCCGACCATTCATGGCCACAGCAAAAACGATGATTGATGTCCAAAATGGAAAATTAACTATGACTGTTCTTGATGAAACTGTTGAATTTTCAATTCTGAAATCAATGAAATTGCCTGAAAACGATAATAGTCATTGCTTTGCTGTAGATGTTTTAGATTCAATAATTTCTGCTGAGTTACTAGATGAATATCTGTTGAAGGTCGAAGAGATTGAGGCTGATGAAGTGGAATCCAGCCAAAGCACAATAAAAGAGGGGAGTGGTGAAGGAGGTTCAGTTACAGGCTGTTTGGAGCAAATTAAGGAAAAACTCCATCCTTCAATTGAAGCTGAAGTTCCACCCAAGCTTGAACTGAAACCCCTTCCTAATTCTTTAAAATATGCTTTCTTAGGTCCAAATAATACTTTTCCTGTAATAATTGCTTCTAACCTTTCACATGAGCAAGAAACAAGCCTACTAGTGGTATTAAAAAAATATAAAAGTGCAATTGGTTGGACAGTAGACGATATTAAAGGAATAAGTCCGACGGTTTGTATGCACCGGATCCTTCTTGAAGAAGGGGCAACTCCTGTCCGCCAACCTCAACGCAGGTTGAATCCAAATATGAAGGAGGTTGTACGTGCAGAAGTCCTAAAGTTGCTTGACTCAGGTATTATTTACCCAATTTCAGATAGTAAGTGGGTAAGTCCAGTTCATGTAGTGCCAAAAAAATCTGGGATTACTGTGGTTACTAATGACAAAAATGAATTAATCCCAACTAGAACAGTGACGGGGTGGCGAATGTGCATAGATTATAGAAAATTAAATGCCGCCACTAAAAAAGATCATTTCCCTTTGCCCTTTATTGACCAAATGTTAGAAAGATTAGCTGGACATGCTTATTATTGTTTCCTTGATGGCTTTCAAGGTTATTTTCAGATTCCTATTGCACCTGAAGATCAAGAAAAAACGACATTTACATGCCCTTTTGGCACGTTTGCTTACCGCAGAATGTCATTTGGGTTGTGTAATGCACCTGCGACTTTTCAAAGGTGTATGATGTCAATATTTTCTGATATGATTGAACGATATGTTGAGGTGTTTATGGATGATTTTTCTCTGTTCGGTGATTCTTTTGATGATTGTCTTGCTCATTTATCTTCTGTGCTTGAAAGATGTGTTAAAATGAACTTAACCTTGAGTTGGGAAAAAAGTAATTTCATGGTTAAAGAGGGCATTGTTTTGGGGCATATAATTTCTGACAGGGGAGTAGAGGTAGATAAGGCTAAAATTGAAGTTATTTCTAAATTACCTCCCCCTACATCTGTGAAAGAAGTGCGAAGTTTTCTTGGTCATGCAGGTTTCTACAGGCGCTTCATAAAAGATTTCTCTAAAATTTGCAGGCCTTTATGCAACTTGCTGGGAAAAGATGTTGTTTTCAAATTTGATGATGATTGCCTTTCTGCTTTTAAGTTTTTGAAAGAAAAATTAACTGCTGCTCCCATTCTTGCGGCACCTAATTGGGAGTTTCCTTTTGAAATAATGTGTGATGCATCTGATTATGCCGTAGGTGCTGTGTTAGGACAAAGAATTAATAAAATGCCTTATGTGATTCATTATGCAAGTAGAACTTTGGATAGTGCTCAGGCTAACTATACAACTACTGAAAAGGAGTTGTTGGCTATAGTCTTTGCATTAGAAAAATTTCGTTCTTACTTAATTGGTTCTAAGGTGATTGTTTATTCTGATCATTCTGCTCTGAAATTTTTGTTGGCTAAAAAAGATGCAAAACCTAGACTAATAAGATGGATTTTGTTGTTACAAGAATTTGATTTAACAATCAAGGATAAAAAAGGGTGCGAGAATGTGGTAGCTGACCATTTGTCTCGTTTACCCGAAGTAGCTAATAATTGTCATGATGTTAATATTCCTATCAATGACAGGTTTCCGGGTGAACAGTTGCTCTCCTTACATAATAAAGAGCCTTGGTATGCAGATATTGTGAATTATTTAGTCTCGGGTCAATTTCACCCAGGCTTAAATTCACAAAGAAAACAACATTTTCTCTCCAAAGCAAAACATTTCTTTTGGGATGAACCTTACTTGTTTAAAATTTGTCCTGATCAAATAATTAGAAGATGTATCCCTGAGTTTGAACAGCAAAATATTTTGAATCACAGTCACACTTTAAATTGCGGAGGACATTTTAGTGGAAAAAAAACTGCATTAAAAGTTTTGCAATCTGGTTTTTATTGGCCTACTTTGTTCAAGGATGCATTTGAATTTTGTGCTAAGTGTGACAGGTGCCAGAGGACTGGTAATATAAGTAAGCGTCATGAAATGCCCCTTTCGAATATTTTGGTTGTTGATCTCTTTGATGTTTGGGGAATTGATTTCATGGGGCCTTTTCCTACATCCTTTGGTTTTAATTACATTCTTGTGGCTGTTGATTATGTGTCAAAATGGGTTGAAGCTGTAGCCACTAGGACAAATGACAGTAAGGTTGTTTTGAAATTCTTAAAAGATATTTTTGCCAAGTTTGGGACACCCAGAGCTATTATTAGCGATGAAGGTACCCACTTCTGTAATAAACTTTTTGCAGGTCTTCTAAAAAAATATGGCATTACTCATAAAGTGGCTACTCCGTACCATCCACAAACCTCTGGCCAAGTCGAGGTGAGTAACAGACAAATCAAGGGAATTTTGGAAAAAACAGTGAATCCTTCTCGGAAGGATTGGGCCATTAAGCTGAATGATGCCTTGTGGGCTTATAGGACAGCCTACAAAACCCCAATTGGTATGAGCCCGTACAGGTTAGTATTTGGCAAGGCTTGTCATTTGCCAGTAGAGTTAGAACACAAAGCCTATTGGGCTATTAAATTCCTAAATTTTGATTTGCAGAGGGCTGGTGGAATAAGAAAATTGAATTTGAATGAATTAGATGAAATAAGGAATGAAGCCTATGAAAACTCAAAAATCTATAAAGAGAGGACTAAAGTTTATCATGATAAGTTTATTTTGAGAAAAAATTTTGAACCTGGGATGAAAGTTTTGCTATTTAATTCTCGTTTGAGATTGTTTCCAGGTAAGTTAAAATCTAGATGGACAGGGCCTTTTGTGGTACGTGAGGTGTTTTCTCATGGTGCATGTGAGATTGAAAATCCAGAAACAGGTGAAAAATTTAAGGTAAATGGGCAAAGACTAAAGCAGTACCTTGAGGGTGAACCCTCCGCCCTGATTGTTGAACGGGTAGAATTGCAGGACTCTGAATGCCCATGTCTAGCTACTGACAATAACTAAAGCGCTATTGGTAGGCAACCCAATTCTCTTTCCCTATCTCCTTGATTTTCATGTTGTTTGTGTTCCTCTTATAAGTGTTGTTCTCCACATTGCGGACAATGTTTGAACTAAGTGTGGGGAGGGAATTTCTATTTCATTCTATTTATCATTCTGTTAAAAAAAAAAAGATTATTTTACTTTTAAAAATAAATTAGTATGAACTTAAACTTTTACCCAATGAGCCTTTTGAATAGCCTATGATGAAAATAATGCATGTATTTGTCAACTCTTAGTGTGTATATTGTTTTTGACTAGTTGTTAATTTCTTTAATTTTATATCTTTGTCAAATCAAAACAAAAAAAAAATAATAAAAAAACAAAAAAAAAAAAAAACAAAAAAAAAAAATAAATAGAATATGAAAATCACAAATACACTTATATGTTCTATACAATTTCTTTAATAATCTATATGTTGATTTCAATTTGTATTACCTTTTTCAAATTCTTAAATAATTTTTGAGTGCTGTAAATTGTGGTGTAGTGTTGGTTCAAGGATCATCTGTATGGCATAAGTGAGGCGAAAAGAAAAGATTATAAAAAGAACATTTTTTAAAAAATATAAATGAGTGTTTTATTTATTCTATTTTCAACAATTTAAGAGATTCTACTCCGCTGAATCAGACACCTATACACATGTATAATAAATAAATCAATAAGTGTTGTGGTCTGGTTTATGAGTACACACAAAATTGAAAACCCAAACAAGTCTGGCGTAAAATGGCGAGGTTTTTGGGAAATTCTCTTTGGAAAAAGTCAAAATCGAAAAATAATGAGTGAACTTTGGAAGAGACGAGCAATTGCGTTTTAATTTTTAATAAATGCATTGATCCTTGTTTCCTTCACGTTTTGCACCTGCACTATGATAGAATATTGCTGAATTTGGCTTGGGTTGTATTTTGTGAAGTTTTCATATTTTTCTATTGAGTTTTTGTATAGCTCATATAAGGGTATTAGCACACGAGCAAAAATTTATATCTATTTTAGCTGCTAAAGGTTTTAATTTTTAGTCAATTGTTTTATGCATTCTTTGAGTTGACATTTATTTTGCATTGATGAGGCAAATAAATTTGAAAGTCTATTTGGATAAAGTTCGTTCTAATACTTGATTTTATTTTTATTTTTATTTTTATTTTATTTTTATTTTCTTTATATTTTCTTTTAATAATATCTTTGCTTGAGGACAAGCAAATAAATAAGTGTGGGGAGATTTGATAAACATTATTTTTATTATTATTTTAAATAATCTTTAATAGTTAAGTTGCAATAATTTATTTATTTTATATCAATTTTATTTATTAATTTTATATTTTTTAGCTTTACTAATATTGTTTAATTTTGGGTTGTTTTTGTTATTAAGTTTGTTTTATTATTATAATTGTCAGTTTAATAGTTTATTGCCTGTAGATTATTATTATTATTATTATTATTATTATTATTATTATTATTATTATTATTATTATTATTATTATTATTATTATTAGTATTTAATAGATAGATTATATTAGCTAGTCAATTCCTACGAGAGAAAGGCGCAGAGCTCCTAGAAGACCAGAACCATATTTTGCAAATCAATTCTTCCGGCGATCCGAATGAATAGCGGAAGATTGGAAGAAATCGTTGAGTCCAAACAATATAAATAGAAGCAATTCCGAAGAAGCCAGGGGAGCACCGACCTACACAAAATTCATTCGTCATCATCACCATTCTTCATCACCAATCTGATCCCCAAAACTCTTCACCCAACGGCCGTTCGGAGATTTCGGGATTTCTAGTGGTTCGCCGCAATTCTGGTCGGCGAACTCTGGTTTGCAGCGAAAGGAGTTTAGTTTGAGCGCATTCAATTCCATATACTGGTTCTTTCTTTATTTTCCTTCTTTCTTTATTTCTTTTTCCTTAATCTGGGCGTATTGGTTTCGTAATTGTTAGCAACAAAGTTAGCCTTTATTTTCATTTGTTAACTACAGACTATTTAAGTGATAGTGCAAATTACCATGTGCTAATTACCATGCTTAATGCTAAGTAAGAGTTAAAGTATTGATTTCATCTGCTCCCATTCTTTTCCTTAATCTGCTCTTTATTTGTGATTGGAAATCTCTTAATTCAAAACTTTGAATGTAGAGCTTAATTGCATATTTAATAACAAGTCTTGATCACAGTGCTTAATGCTAAGTATTTTGTTAATTATAATGCTGAAGGTTTAAGTACGGTTGTTAATTGAGATTACCATTGATAATGAAGCTGGTAGTGTTAACTGTTAGTTTTTTATGCCAAATTTCTAAGCTTTAATTACCACTTTCTGCACTCGTAATTAGTACTTTACATTTTAACTAAACTTTGTTTAATTGTCAGTAGCAATTTCTTGTTCATTCTGATTAGCTTTTCAATTACTCAATTTTTAGCTTTTGAAGCATTGATTTTAATTGTTTTGCAATTGAGTTGATTCTTATATTTGATATTCGTTTCTAGCACGTTAAAATTATCAAGTTAATTAATTTTAAGATTATAAATTGCATATTATCAATTCCTCTTGGGTTCGACCCTTGCTATTGCACCCTATTACTACAGTGACTCGTGCACTTGCGAGGACATTTAATTAAAAATTGTCCAACACTTAACGAAGAGAACATGACTCCGGAAGACGAGGAGCACGCGAATCCATCAGAGGAAAACCAAGAAGGAGAATTCTGTTTAGGATAAACTAAGGAACCCCTGTAACCACCCTTGTAGTAAACTACTTGTTTAGCATAGCCACTTCGGAATCATTCTTTTAAATAAACTCGAAATATTCTAGCATAAGTGAAGGAAACTAGACAGCAACAAGGTGGACCAATCAAATTCCCCACCACTAGAAAACAAAAGAAGAAAAAAAAAAAGACAAGGATCACACCCCAACAAAGAGGACTAATGTTACCAATAAGAATGGAACCTTTAACCTCTCACTTATAAGACTAGAGCCTTAACCACTAAGCTATGAGTGTTTCTTGAAACCTCAAGGGAACATTCCCTTCTTAAACCCCTACAAATCCCTAAAAACCCCAAAACCCCCAAATCAAAAACCCTTCTTCTTCTTCTTCCTCCACACCCTCTCTCTCTCTCTCTCTCTCCCCTCACCCCCATTAACCTGCCATCTCCCTCACCCTCACGCACCTGCCGTCGCACCACCCTCCACCATCACGCTCGCCGCCTTACTCCCCGCCGACGAACCACCACCGCAACCGGCCAACGCCCGCACGCCGCAGCCACGGAGCCGGAGACCACCCGCGCCGAGCCCACTGCCACGGCGAACCCACCACTCGCCCGGCCACCGCCCACTGCCAGCCTCAGCCACCTGCTCCGCCCGGCCCTCGCACCCTCGCCGCCGACCCCGGAATAGTGAGCCGTGCCATCGTCCCTCGCCGCCGGAACCTCGCTGGAAGACGCCACTTAGGAGAAAAAAAAATCCAAAATGCCGAAAAAGCCCCTCGGAGTCCGCACCCCGGAATGGAGCAACGCCGACTACACCGTGATCGGAGGTAAAGCCCTCGAACCCGACCAATTCTCTCCGGAATTGGTCGACATGCTTAAATTCCTAGGGCTCCTGGATATGTATCTCACCATTAAAGGGGATACATACCCCAAGTTGGTGAAAGAGTTCTATCATCATTTGGTAGCCGTTAAGCGGGGCGATAAACTGGAAATTACCGCCAAAATCCGATGCAAGGAAATCATACTTTCCGAAGGCCGCTTGGCCAAGCTCTTAAGACTGACCACCACGGGTGTGTCCGATTACGACCAGAAGGGATAGATTGGTACCCAAAACACGGGATACAAGGAATACCTCGGATACCTACTCGGGAGAGAAGAAGGTTTCACCTCGGCCACTCGGCCAAACAGGAAATGGCTAACCGCAGAGCAAAAGATACTAGTCATGATGGTAACTGACAGCCTGTTGCCTACAAACAACAAAAGCAAGGACGTGGGAAGTTTGGAGTGTACTTTTGCCTATCTCTTAAAGCACAAAATCAAGTTCAATCTACCGGCCCTCATGCTGAAACACATGGAGTTTTGCAAAACTAGCAACCGGCTTAGCCTGCCCTACGGGATGATCCTAAGCTGGATCATGGAGAAAAAGGGAGTGGATCTAAGCCACACTGAAGTCAAGACCGCAAATGGCATGGTTTTCAATGCTCAGAATCTTCGTTGCAATGATATCTACTACACCGAAGGGGGATAATACATCACCCTCGAGGAGATTTGCCTTAAGCCCGAGGGAGAACGAAGGGAATTGGTTGATCAGCTGGATATCTCCAACAAGAAACTTAAACGGGCAATGCAAGAATGTGGGGAACCAGGGGGAAATGAGGACCAGGAAGAAGATAGCGAGCCTAATCCACCGGCGCCCACACAAGCAAGGAGAAATCCAAGGGGCCAAAATGAAGAATCCGTCAATGAGCGCATCCTCGCACAGCTCGCCCGACAGAACCAAATCATGGACGAGGGATTCTCGTCCCTAATCCGCACAAAACGCGCCTTGGACCAAAGGGTGGCATCTATGGAGACCATGTTGGGTACTCGCGGGGCATCCAGCTCAGGAGCAGGAAACCAAGGTAAAACAGAACCCTCCAAAACCACCACCTCACCAAAAATCCAGTCTACCCCAACGGGAGGGGGAGGGGGGGGGGGGGGGGCACACCTCCTAACCGAGAGGCCAACATACGTAGCGTTTAGGGGTGAAAGAATGGATCCACGCACCGGCTTCGAGGATGAAGCCTCTTGTAAGGGGGGGGGGGGGGGGAGAGTGTAACACCCCGTGTTACGACCCCTACATTAAAACTAATTTAATTATCACCCACCCCAAAAAGGGAATTAAAATCCATTAATTAGCTATAGAGGGGTCCACTATGGATCATGGGCCTTTAGCCC